AGGCAGAACCTGTGATGGATGCCTTGATCTTCTTCCACTGCTCTTCGCTGCGCGCAATTCGCCAACAGATAAACAACACACAAGACTGTGTTCGCATCCACAAGCCCAGCTCTGTAGCCAACTGTCGTTTTGCAGGAATCAGTTGCCAACTTACTTGAAGGGAGCTGCTTCAGCTGTAAGAGCTTCAGGTGTGGTCATGCACAGTAAAGCATAGCCTGTCTTCCCTTCGCCAGCGCTTAGGGCGCCTACTCCGCCTACTCCTGGGGATTGGGTAGCTGCGGATCGAGTGCAGGTAACGACGCGGCAGTCAGCAGCGGCATCCTCTAGAGGGTTGTACATGGCAACAAAAGAAATGTTCTGCTGTTTGTCGTAGAGTGTCGTTTGGTTATTCTTCGCCGGAGGGATTGTAGTGAAGTTGCTGGCGGCGTCCTTCCAGTGGCTCACTGCGGCGGCGCAGTCGGCCGTCGCCGATTCCAAGGCAATGTAGGCGTATGTACCAGTTTTAAATCCATTTGCATTTGCGCTCTTCGCTACATCTGCTGACTCTTCCTGAAAACAAAATGCACGGACGAAGAAATGAGACAGCCTGAAGTAGAGATATGGGGACTATGACGGGGGCCACATTGAAAGACACTTACTCCTGTCAGGGCTTCACAAACAGGATTCCATGCAGCATTGTGCTGTTCATCGTCTTCCAAGGTAACTGGAGGCCACGCTAGTTCTGCGCCGCTCTCCGTTTTGAAGTGTTCGAGTCCAGCGGCTTGGCGCGCAGCGTTGATTTCGTCGAGGCACACATGATCTTCCCCTGCATAAAAGCAAATGATGCAGACATCCTATGCGCAAATGTACAAATAATGATACTTGCAAACGTGTTTCGGAGCAATTTAGTGCGCTTTGAAATGTTTCTTCACTACCAAGCCCACTGAACCTCCAGCACAACTCATCATCCCCAACGCATCTACTTTGGAGCACTACAAGGCTGAAACCCTCCCAACCAAACAAGTATTTGCCGTCATACCGAGTTTTACAGTGTAGGTTGGGGACGTTCCATCCGACGCCAATGAAGTTTGCTTTGCCGTTTGATGGACAGCGTTCGCCATCAAGAACGCAGACGCAGAGCCGAGCGAAAAAAGTTTAAGGGCCGCCATGTTTGCAGTGTCGAAGTTTAATATGTGAAGGAGTAAACGGGAAGAGTGGCGAAAGTGTTGAGGGCCCTCAAGAACAGATGTAGCAATATGCTATGCAGTGTGCGCAGGAAGTGGCGGCGAGGGAGCGGACCACGGCTGGCCTATCCGGTCCGGCGTGGAGTCATGCTCTTAGTTGAATTTACAGCCCTGCCGTTGTTAAAAACCTTAATGAGGTATTTCAAGAATTATTGTCTACACGGTGCCCCCTGTCGCCGCTGAATGCCACATGAAACGCCGGCG